ACTCCTTTCAGCCAGAAGTAGCCAGAACGGTCATTGCCCTGGTCCCTCATGGCAGCTAGGGATACCTCTTCAAAGGGGGAATACTATACACAGCTAAGTTAGGTAGCAATATTATAGGCAGTCACACAGGCCAAGGCCCTGGAAAAAGTGAGTGTAGAAGATAAGAACACATCACAATGGTGGGCGGAGGTGCATCACTGAAGGTCAGGTCTCAAAATAAAAATGGAATGACTACACCTATTTACTTCCCTGAGGGATAAACAACAATGATCAATATTCTACATAGGCATTAGTCATCTTGGTGGGGGACCAAACCTGCTGACCTATCCCTTCCCAGAAAGGTCCTTGTTCTTTCCATACACACTTGTTTTGTAACTTGTATCCCCATTGAATCAGTATTACCTAAGTGACTATATGTGTAATCTTGTCCCACCTTATACTTGCATGATTTTGCACCCACCTCATGATTTTGCTCTATAAAACTTACTTTGAGAAGTGGGCTCATGGGAAACGCAGTGTCTGGTCCCCTCCTATCCCTTTCAGATAGGAGCTGTTTTTCCCTCAATAAGTATTTCCCACTCTTAATGTCTTAAAAAAAAAGCATTATCCCTGACTTTCAGAATGCTGATGTCAAAAAAATCACAATCTTTATGAGAAAATATCATAAAAGTTACTATTTTCCACCAGCAACAGATGAATGATTTGTAAAAATTATTTTAATTCTTTAAATACTAAACAAGTATTTTTGTTGGTCTTCTTGAAGTCTAACTCCATTGCAAGTTTCTTGTTAAGTGTTAGATTTAATTCACATATCACAGAAATCACCCCTTTAAAGTGCATATGTCAATTGTTTTTAGTATAATCAAGGTCATACAGTCATCACTATATTAGACATATTAATCACCCCCAAAACTAGCCCTGAACCCATTAGCAATCACTCCCCACTCCCCATTCACATCCTCACTCCCAGTTCTAGAAAACCACTAATCTAGTTTCTACCTCTAAATTTGCCTATTTTGGACATTTGATATAAACAGAATCACATACTATATTGTATTTCTGATTGGGTTCTTTGTCTTGACCTAACATTTTCACAGTTCCAATCACATTGCAGCATGTATCAGCACTTTATTCCTTTTGCTCTCAAAAAATACTCCACTGTGTCAATGTAGCACATTTCACTTACCCATCCACTAGATGACTGACAATCGGATTGTTTCCATTTGGCCATTGTGAATACTGCTATGAACATTTGTGTTAAGGTTTGTAGGAGTGCACTTGTCCTTGCAAAAAAGTGACATCATGACTTTGATCTGTAGATCATTCTGGGTACTATAGATATCTTAACAATATTAAGTCTTCCAATCCCTGAGCACAGGATGTCTTTCCATTTATATTTGTGTCTTCTTCAACTTCATTCTGAAATATCTTGTAGTTTTAATTACAGAAATACTTTACTTCCATGGTTAAATTTATTTTATTGTCTTACGGCTATGTAAAAGGAACTGATTTTTCAGTCTTTTCCCACTGCATTTAATGTTAGCTTGAGCTTTTCATAGATGGCCTTATATATGGCGATAATTTCCTTCTAGTCTTACTGTTGAGTATTTTTACCATGAAAAGATTTGGAAGTCTATTCTGAAAATACAAAACCCAGGGTCTTCACACTGAGCTACATCACCGGCCCTTTGTTTTTACTTACAGACAGGGTCTTGCTAAATTGCTAAATTGTCCAGGTTGAGTTCAATCTTGTGATACTCTTGCTTCAGTCTCTCAGAAAACTGAGATTACAAACTTGTGCCACCACACCTGGCATGAAAGAATTTTGCATCTTGCCAACTGTTTTTTCTCCATCTGCTGAAATAATCATAATTTTTGTCCTTCTTTTCCCTTAATGTGAATGACTTTATATGCTGAACCATTCTTGTACCCTAGCAATAAAGACTACTTTGTCTCGATCCATAATCCTTTCATGGGTTGTTGAATGTGGTTTGCTACTATCAGGATAATCTTCTCTGTACTGTTCTATTTTTAGCATATGCACTGACAAAAAGGACATTCTTAAGGATTTCTAAAATGGAGCATAATGTAAAAATCCTTTGAATTTCAATTACCAAATAAGTAAATGTCTCAAGAGGCAAGAATTCTTTTTCTGTGCTTTAAATATTGACAAAAATCAAGGCACAAGTGCTAGTTCCATTAAATGCTTTGTGTGAGGAATTGTACATGAGCTCCTACATAATACATTTTAATCTGAGTGCCAAAGAATGCCTCTTTGAAGGTGCCAAAAAAAAGAGTCTGGCCAATTTATAGGCATCCAGGTTTGCATGTTCTACAACACATGAAATATGTTTACATGTAGTAGTGTGGCCAAGTAGGTAGAAAGACAAAGACTCTCTTCTTGATTAGTTCTAGTGAGGCTCTCTCAACAGACATGAACAAAACACTAACAGTTGCTAACAGCTTAGGGCCACACTCTTAACAAAACCCAAACTTGGCTTAACAATTTGCCTCCAAAAACTCAAGGCTGCCTAAAGAATTTCCTGTTTATGTTACCCAATATTCAACATAATATTCCTCTTCATATTCCTCCACCATATTCCCTCCATGGGAAGGTAAGAATTTAATTTCCATAAACGTCAATCCCTAAAGGATCACAGGTGGACTAATCCTCCATTCTCATCTTTTGTAACTTTTTGCTTCCTTGACATTGCCAGGACACCCCCACCCCCTACTCCTTCCATTCCTTCACTATCACCTCTGTACAGAGGCTCAATTATCTCTGTACAAATTAAAGTTCAATTCATGTTGGACTCTTTCCTATTATAATAGTATTATGACTGAACAATATCTGTGCTTACCACTTGAGTGTCCAACTTTATCTCCAATAAGGCGACAGAAGTGACCAAGCACAGTGGGGAACACCTCTAATCCCAGCACTCAGGAGGCTGAGACAGGAAGATCACTGAGTTCAGGGACAGTTTGAACTACATCAGACTCTGTCTCAAAAGATACATACATACAAACAAAAAACCATGGGGGTGGATTCATTTTTATGGTCGAGTAGAGATCCTAACATATAGCAAGCATTCAGGATGCAAAAGACACGGGTGTGTTTGTTGAGACAAGGTCTCACTATGCAGTCCAGGTTGGCTTTGAACTCACTTTTTAGCCCAGACTGGCCTCAAACTGACAGTGATCCTTCAGTCTTGACCTTCTGAGTGCGGGGACTACAGGCATGTAACTCCGCTTCTGGCCTGCGAAGGACAGGATTCTTTGACGAAAAATCCCATTTTTGGAAACTAACACTACTCCGTGAAACTGACTTGGAGCTGGCAAAGGTTAACAGACGTTTGGGCACACCAGAGGACACACCAGGTGGCACAACCAGGAGAAACTAAACGCGGAAGCAAAACCAAAGCTCCTGGGAAGACACGTGAATGGGCGGCAGCCAGTGTTCTGCGCCTGCGCAATGCAGCGGGGCTGAGACAGCGCTTGCGCAGGAAGAATGGGGGCGGTGCCACACGCCTGCGCCTGCGCAGCTATGGGTTGGGGTCGGGGAAGGGGTCAGGCATCAAGGGCCTGTAGAATGGAGCTGTTATGGACCTCTTGAGTGTGATCGTGTTACTCTCCTAGTCGGCTGGAGTGTGGACCTAGGGGGAAAAAAGTGAACTAAATCACTTGTTTATGACCTTTATAAGTAGTCTTTATGTTGTGTCAAGTCTCTTAGAAATGCTGTTTGAGGCCTCGGCCCCTCTCTTGAGGGTTTCTTCTCGAGGCTCTCAGGATGAGTGCCTCATCTCTCCTTTGACTTCCGTAGGGCTCGGAATTAAAAGTTGAGTAACACTTGATTTGAAAAAAGAAAAAAGATAAAAGAGAGACACTTGTGTATACACAGAATGTTCTGGAAGTATGAACCAGCAACTGATAATTGATTTCCTCAGAAGAAACTGGGTGGCTGAAGGATGGAAATAGGAAAAGTGGTTGATTGGTTGATTTATACTGTTTTAAATTTTGTCCAATGTACACCTACTACAATATTTTTTAAAAATTTGAATTCCATGTGATCATTTATCAAAATATAGATAGGAAATTCTGAAATTTAGGCGTTCTGAATCAAATTATACCAATGATAGTAGAGTTATCCATTCACAGGAAGTAAAATGTCTAGGGTGAACCACTGAGCTTTCCTGTTTATTTCTGGGCAGAGATCTTTGTGGGATTAGGAGCAAGAGACAGGAAAAGAGGAGTCAGGCACTTGGAAATTCTTCAAAATTGTGGCCTACAGGAAACTTGACTTCTTTATCATCTTGGTCATTCGTTTTGGATTTGCTGACGAAAATTAAGAGCTACTTTTTTGTGTGCACTGACTGAATGCATAGGTCTGAAGGAGACATTTGATGGGTTTTTTGTTTGTTTTGTTTGTTTGTTTGTCATGGTGACTGAGTGTGACTGGCAAGATTGAGATACGAAGTTCTTGTTTTGGTTAAGAAGACTTTCCTTGATGAGAAATCTCCAGACTGACTATGGTTTAATCCTAACCTCAGCCAACTTTGCAAGATAATTTGGGGCTCCCACCTCTAAAAAAAAAGTACTGAAAAATTAAACAGAAAACTAAGAGAATTTACAGGCAAAACACTCAGGCTGAAAGAAGATCCCAGAAAACTTATGTGCTGGTCAAGCTGAATCAGTTTCACTTTGTTTCCCAGTTTGTGGTTAGTGGATCTAGGCAAGGAGAGGATTTAGTACCAGAGGTTGAAAGTGTAAATTTAAAGCCACCAGTTATAATGTGTTATCTTCATATTTGCCTGGCTTGCAAGTAGGAAGCCAGAGATTGAAATCCCACATAAAATATGTGGTGAACTGTATTTCCTAAATCTAAAAATCAGTACATCTACAATAAATAAATGACTGAGTGGATAATCATCAATCAGACAGAGACGTGTCCAGGGATAGAGATTCCCTTGCAAAGGAGGGGGGGACAACACATCACAAAGGACTGTACTTCATAAAATTTATTAAAAAAATAATTTATGTCCTTGGCAAAATAAAAGGTCTTCTATAATATAAATGTTTTTTAGAAAACATATGAAAAGATAATATAACAAATATTAAATCAATATTAACATTATAGTGAAAGTGGTAATGATTCTGTAACAATGACAAGGATATTCCTGGACTTTGTACAGCAGTATTTCTGGAAGAGCCTCTGATTCTTCCTTTCTTTTGAAATATGCTCTCATTTTAAGAAAGCCTGGTACATACAAATTTAAACTTAGGAAGTTGGTCAATTAAAGGATATTTACATTACCAAAAAAAAAACCATAAAAAGTTTTCCGTCAAGGATTCTTTAAATAGCAAATTTCCTATTGTGTTTAGAATATAATTAACCAAATACATGTGTCCTCAACTTTTCAGTTTAACTATTGCAGAAAGGCACTAATAGCAATGAAAAGAGCACTCTTAGATTAGAGGAAATAGGAACACAGTTCTCACAATCTTTTGTTTCTTCTATTTTCTTGTCCCAATTGCTTTCTGTTAGTCTCTGTTCACTTGTACTGTCAGGAAAAAGAAAGTCCTAAGAGGGTGACAAGTTAATGAATTAGTCATTCCAGCAGAGCAGAGTGGAGGAAGAATCTGGAATTCAGAGTGCGTATGTGGATGTACTGCAGAAAAGCAAAAGTAACTCTGAACTCTTGGGTAGTCATTTTGAGGCCCCTCCCCCGTGGGGCATCTGACCCCCTGAGGAGCAGCAGAGCCCATCCAGCCCTCCTTGGAGAAGGGATGAAGGCCTATTTGTCACATTCCTCCTGGCTCCCTTCAGCACAATGATAGTGCTGCTCACAGAATTCCTGGATTCGGCTGCAGGCCTCCAACATCATCACCTCAGGCACAGTGATCACCACTCGGAAGAAATTTGGGTACTCAAAGCACTGACAAAAAAAAAAAAGAAAAGCCTCTTATTTTCAGAGCAGTTGAATCTGGGAGTGGACTCCCCTAAAATGACCAGGGATCTAATCAGCAAGAAGAGTGAGGCCATTTCATGAAGGGTATCAGTTCATCTCCTCCAGTCTCCAGCAGCATGTTAAGTCAGTAAATGTGTTAATTTATTTCAAAACGAATGTGGTACAAATCTGATTACCTATTATCTAGAATGTTTGGTTGCAATTTCCTGTTATGGATAGGACAATAACAAGGAAGAAACAAATTTTAAATAGAAGCTATGAGACACAACAATTTAAATCTTATCAAATAAGAATCTACTTTGATAAAGGGAGAAAAAGGGTGAAACCCACATGACGGAGAGCTCCAGGGGCTCTAGGAACACTCAAGTACTCACCTTTCCTGGGAGGCAGTGGACGGACTGCTCAGCAATCAACCGCTCTGTGAACTCCACATCATCCTCAAATTCTGGAAAATGTTCTATCTCAATTCCGACCTACATCAATAATAAAAGGGAAAAGCAAATCTAGCAGAAGAAGAGAAAACAGGTCCATTTCCTAAGAAATAGGCAGAAATAGGGCAGGGACCACTCTAAAGCTATTTTGGAATTCTTCTACTATTGATAACTAAGAACTCATAGAATTTTTCTCAGGGAGGAGTGGATATAGTATATTCATGTTTGAGTTTATTGAAGAGTCCTTTCCTGGATACTGATAAGTGGAGAAATAAAATCCCAGTGTTTCTAAAAAGAAACTGAGTTAGCATTAGAGCCAGGACATTCTTTACTATAAGGGACTGTCCTACCCATTAAAAGATATTTATTGGCAGGGTGTGGTGGAGCATGCTTGTAATCCCAGCACTCAGAAGGCTGAGGCAGGGGGATTGCTATAAGTTTGAGGCCTACCAAGGGTACCTAGTGAGTTCAAAGCCAGCCTAAACTATATAACAAAACCCTATCTCCCATCACCAAAAGACCTTTACATCCTTGACCCACAAAATGGCGATTGCACCACCCCCCCACCAGTCATCTTGAAAACAAAATCCCCCAAATCTCAAACTCCCCTGGGAAACCTGTATCACTCCCAGTTGTGAGCTACAAAGTATGGAAAGCCTCTTCCATGTGTTGTCAACTTCAGTATATCTACGTATAAAGTGATTTTCTGTGCTAAGGAATTCAGTGATTTTAAAAGTTTTATGAACACTGGGGTTAGAGCATATTGAGACAATTCAGAATAAATTCTCAACTGACTGGCTTAGGAACCTCACCCATTGCCTTTGTGAATGGCACACGCCTGGGGCAACCACCCATGGCAGCCTTGCCAACCACCTTCCCTGTGCTTAGCACATGCATAGATCTAATGCCTGCTCCCTCCATGCTCACCATGAGGTACATAGCCCCCGAAGGGCAGACTGGCTGGAGTCCAGGTACTGAAGACAATGTCTCATAGCAGAGATCAGCGTTGGCCTATAAGAAGAGGCAGCGAGAAGTCAAGAATCAAATTTTAAGTAGAAAAAGTGATATCATTAAAGTAAAGTAATCCTGGAAGGTCAGTAAACTATCTGACACAATAAGAGTCCAAAGAAAAATATCTATATATAACTTGAAGTTGTTGGCCAGCAGCAGAATGAATTGACAGAAGTGAGAGGAACGTATGAGCTGATACACCAACACCATCACGTGATACAGAAGCCCCATATTGGAATAATATTCCAGAAAGGAGGACCAGTTGTTCCTAATACAACTGGGGGTGTTCTATGACTCCCAAGCCTCCCAAATAAAAGGGCATTAGCTGCTTTTACCTTGAGGAAGCTTAGAGTATTGTGGTAGAACTCTTGAGGGGTGCGACGCAGGATGCTTTTCAGTGCTCCCTGGACGATGGTGCAAGGTCCCAAGATCCGCTGAGTCAGCTTCACCAGCCCATCTCGGATCTGAAAGGACCCCAAGAGACACATTTAGCCATGCATAAGGATGCACAGTGTCAGCTGTCATTACTGTTACTGATTCCCTTTCTTGAAGTCCTAAAGTTGGAGGTAGAATTCCTTCACAGATCCAGATACATAAAAGCTAAGCTGAGGAGAGAACTAGCTATTTTTATCCAGCAGGTTTCCAGGCACTGTGAACTACAGAGAGAAAAGGAGAGGGAAGAGAAATTTCTACTTCTCCACCACTGTGCAAATATATGTTCTAAATTACACACACTGTTTTACCACATCATTCTTACCTCATTGCCAAAAATGTCTCTTCGGTCGTGGATGAGGATCCAGCCCAGTCTCCAGCCAGGAACCAGCCAGCGCTTGGCCAGCCCTCCACAGGACAGGATGGGAACATCCGTGCTAAGCGTGGCCAGGGGTTTGTACTTGCAATCTGAGAACACCTGTAGAGAAGAGGTCTTGCATACTTTCCTCTGAATTCTATTCCTCCTCACTCATTTCCTCATATCTCAAAGGACAAAGCATCAGATTTATAGGATCCTTTCGATCCTGAAGCATGATTAGTGCAGGGTCACATGATTGAGTTCTAAGAGGCCTCAGAGGGGACCCTCCAAAGACATTTAATTTGATGTCAGGCCTAGATTAAAAAAAAATTTTAATGAGGTAACTGATTCCATTGCTGTGCTGTATACCACTTCATGAGCCTGGCTCTAAAGAATTAGTGACTGTTAGAACTTTAGATTTAAAAATAAAATATGAATCCTCAATCCTTTACCTAAAGGTTACGGGTTCAGTTGCATTGCAGAATGCAAAAATGTTTGGATTCTTAGAAAGGCTATATAATGCATACACTAAACAGTAACGTTCCCAGAGCAGTCTCTAATCAAGACAATTAACTTGTTTACCATTTTCCTTACATTCTTAACAAATATACATCCATAAATGCCATAAACAAAAAACTACAAAAATCTCCATATCATGTCAACTGAGGTTTTGAAATCAAATAAATTTCAAGAATCTTTGGATAGTAAAGCTTTTTGGATTTCAGAAAATTTCTATAGAGTCATATATATAATTCCATATACATATGGCAATATGGCAATATATATGGTTATATATATCATGTATATATATAACTCCATATACATATGGCAAGAATATATATGTATATATGTCTCCATATGTATATGGCAAGGATACTGATTTGCTGTACTGAAATGATTCATAATTGCTTCCAATTACTATAGTTGCCTACTACACTAGAGGTCGCATGAAACAATTTGGGGTTGAGATAAGCTATCTCCTAACTCAGACTCACCATGTCTCCATAGATCTCATCAGCTACAATAGGAACACACTGCCTTGCGGCCACTGCAAATAAAAAAAGCACACTGGAAGCATTTTAGGTGTGAAAACCTTATCATTTAAGGTCCACCTAATCTTACTTTGCTGTGCATTGCACATTGGTGTGTGCAACTGTTAATCCTGATTTGTGAACTTCATTGCATTAAGAAACACATGGTAGATTAGTAAGGCACACTCCTGGGTGTGCCTAGGTGGGTCGTGGAAGTGTACGCTGTAGAACTGTGTATGGTCCCCAGCCAATTCCTCTCGGCCACGGTTGCTCTGCTCTGCTCTGCTTCCTGGTCTCCATGAACTAAGCAACTTTGCTCCACCACGTCTTTCTGCCTTGAAAGCAGCCTAACATAAACTGAATCTCCTAAAATCATGAACTAAATTAAGCCTTACCTCCTTGAAGCTGAAGGTGTCGGGAATTGTTTCTCTGTGACAGGTAAGGCAACGCAATGTGTTTGACCTTCCTTTGAAAACTGTAAATTTGGGCTGAGGATATACAGCATAGCACTTGTCTATATGCATGAGACCCTGGGTTCAGTCCCAGCACCACAAAATTATAAAACTAAATTTTTCTACTACTCTTCCAGACCACAGAGCCTAGATTTGACATTCAATTAACAAAATACTTCAAACCCTCGCTTCCACACAACGTTAGTGGTGAAGAAGGAAGTACAGGTTAAGTATTTCTTACCCAACGTGGTTGGATTGGGACCGCCCTACCTGCATTTTCCTTTTCTCCTTCTTTTAAGCAAGACCTACCATTCCAGTGCTAAGCTGTTGATTAGAGATGTCAGTGGAGCTCTTCTACCTCTATCCCACGCTTTGCACTTAGCACAAGACTCTTTTTGTAACTCTAGGGTACAACTGAACAATTCCGTTCTCAACTCCTTCGCTTTTCCGTGAGTTGGCTGGACTTACCTGCCAGAATCTTCTGAAGATGACTCTTACTGAAGACTGACCCACAGGGATTTGATGGGTTGTTGATGATGAGACAAGCTGTCTTTTCATCAATCAAAGATTCCATTTGTTTCAAGTCAATTTCCCAAGACTTCTCTGGCTAGGGCGAAAGAAACAGTAAGACTAGATGATTCTGAAATGGGCAATCCTCAACCCAAAGGCACAGGATAAATCAGAAAGTTTGTGTTTGGCCTCAGTCATCCACTTCGGGCATGTTTCTGACAGGCAATGCTCATATCTTTTTCCAAGTGCCAAATGAATTTGAGCCTAAAATTTAGATGTCACTTACCAGTAGATTATAGAGTTTGACCTCAATTCCCAGAGATTCAGCCAAAGTTCTATAGAGAGAAAAACCGGGTCTGGGAACAAGGATGTTTTGCCCCGGGTTGACCAACACAGCTAAACACAGTTCAATCGCCTCACTGCAGCCACTCGTCAGAATGACATCCTGTGACGAGAATAAAAGGGTAATTTCACTAGGGGTTCTAACAGTCACAAGAGAAAAGAGGTTTGCACTTCACATTTGTGTGTGTGATTGTCAGGTGGATAAGCTGGGAAGAAACACGTTTCTAACTAAAGCAGTACATAGGGATTGAACTAAGCCAAAATCAAAAGAAATTTATGTGGAAGTACATCCATATCGCAGTGTTGTTGAGAATGTTGGGCACTTAAATAATTCACTTTTAAAAAGACAAGTTCCCTATGACTCAGCAGACTTCCACAAGAGACCTTGGACTAACCTTGAACTTTTTTCTCCTGTCTATTGATGTACTTTTGGCCAGAATTTGAAGCCTGGCTCTTCTCTGACACACGGATAAAGGATGCTTACTATGACAGGAAATGTGTATCCCACACAGTAACAATAGAGGGAAGGACAGCATGTAACACTGTCACTGCCCTCGATTCAGTATCTCACGGGACTTCTTTCTGTCTGAATGCCCTAAGGTGAATGGATGAATAAAGCCATGCATAAAAAAGATACTAATGGCAAATTTTTAAAAATTAATTATTTGATGTTTGTGAATTGTTTTTCAATCATCTTTTGAAGGGAATCAAATCTAGAATGACCTTAGTTAGCATCCTTATGCCTCCTTATGACAGTCATGATACGAATTATAGGAGACGTTTTTATCACACTATGGTGACATTAAATATAATTACTATTTAGTGGCTCTAACTATGTAAGATGTTCTCAGATTGCTAAGGGGGAAATATCTTCAGTTACCCCTCTCCAACCCCTGCCCTGCCACAGGCCATTACTCCTTGTGGAACAGTTTTCCCCAAATTGATACAGAGCATCATGACACATTACACAAGGCTCACCTTAGCTTCCAGTGGTGCTTTGGCACAGTGGTAGTAGGAAGCAATCTCCTCACGACTAGATAGGTAGCCTGCAAGGTGACAAAATGGGGAGAGGAAGCTGAGGAGTTTTGGTCCTCAGCTGATAGATGTGCCCTAGCAGGTCAGCTAGGGTTTCACCCTCCTCCAACCCCTGCGTAGACAATAATCTGTTAAGCTTAGCTATCAGTCACTGTAGTTATAAAGATTAACTTTATAATTTATATAACCACAAATTTATAAACAATAACAATAAACATTTCTCCAAACTGCAAAATACCTTGCATTATCTTGATTACTGTGGTTATGTTTTATTCTCTGTAAAGGATTTAAGTTATTTCTAAGTTCCTTTTAGGGACTATATATATTTAAAAGTTGTCATGAATGCACTCAATACATGTATACATTTTACAATATATCCTGCGCTCATAGTATTTGACATAAACTTTATATTTTAAATTATTTTCTTTTACAATATTTCCAAATTTGTTTTATAAGCTTCAAGGTCCACTATAATATTTCACAAAACTGCTACCCAAAAGACAAGTTAGCAAGACCAGAAGCAATATTTCAGCTGTGTTCACTTAATAGATTCAAATGGATCTCTTGAAATTATATAAATCAGCTCTTCCTTAATTATTAATAAGAAATAACATTCTTAGACATTTTATCATTCATATCTTCTTTGGTATAAGACTTGGTTTTGGTTTCTGGGTTGAATTGCATCCATAATACTTTGGATATCAAAGTCATAAACTTCTGATTTTAGCTAACACTCTACTTTCCTTCTGCACTAAGAGTATGTTCTTATGTACACATATACCCAGGGAGGGAGTTGTACAGTACTGACACAAAGTTTAAAAAAAACCCTCACTTTACCAAAATCTTTATGATCTAAATTGTTAAAAGACAGTTACTAAAAATAGGGGGAATTTCTTGCTCTAAGAAACAAACTTCTGTCCTTCATTCTTTGTTATTTTGAGTCCTCTGTATCTTGAACAGTTACTATTGCACTTCAATATGACCGATAGGTAATGAAACTAGTCCTTTGATAGAAAGACAAAGGGAAAGAAAGCAAAGGAGCTATTACATAGGTCAGTAAGTAAATTACTGTGGGCCCAAAGTACTCAGTAAACACTGGGCTCCACCCAGACTCAAAGTCTGCACAATAGAATCAATAAGCATAATCATTATTTGAGGATTAAGTGTGTTTGAGAACCTAGAAGGAGGTGTCAGCATGCCGAAGAAAGCCAGGAAAGAGCTTAGACCTTGTGTTTAATAATCTGGAGCAAGGCCCCTTCCCCTAAATCCAAATGGAAGCTTAATCTTAACCAATGCTTAGGAAGTGCTAAAATTGCTAGAAATGTAGTGCCATTGGAAGAACACTAAAGATTTGGAAGCTTCTAGGTATAGTCTCAGGTAGCTTACCAATGGATGGGGCATAGCCATTGTATTTCCCTGAATCCAGGGCATCCTTCATAGCTTGGGTAACTTCAGGGTCTGTGGGGAGGTTTCCAAATACAGTAGGGTCTCCTGTTCATGGAAGGATAAAAACAAAAGAAGCCACCAAGAGATTACTCTCCTGTGTCCTAGACTCAGATTCACCCTCCACTGCCATGTTTTCCAGGTACTCCACCACATACCCCCCAACTCACCAATTGACAGAGAAATCATGGCTTTGTTTGGGTTTGGCTTCACCTTCATGCTGTCCACAATGGCCCGGATGGGATTGAAAGTCCTGTTGGACATGTCCGAGGGCTTCACTGACCATCTGGCCTTCCTGCCTTTCATTTTCCCTGGCGTGGAGCTTCTCGCACTGATGTTGACATGCACATCCCGAACAGGCAGAAGGCTGCCACTCTCCTTCGTGTGGATCGTATAGGGGTCCATCGCTAGGAAAGCCTACAGGGAAAAGAAGAGGATCCCCGTGAGGGAGGTCACTGTGTGAAGTATGTGCCAAGGAGTCAGGGCCTACATGTGGATCGAACATCAGGGTGACCTCACTGGATGTCGCAACTCTTTTTTTTTTTTTTCTGCTTTCTTTTGTAGAGTAGTTTTATTATAAGCAAGAAAAGTGTTAAGCCTTTTTGCTGAGATAGAAAATAAAGCAAGATATCATGCTATAAGGTGAACAGCATTCAGTTGAATTCTTATCTACTGTGAGTAGGATTTACAATGTGCAAATGTAATCTTTGAAAAGCTTAACCATAATCTGTGTAAAACCAAGAGAGGGCACAGTGGCACATGCCTGTAATCCCTGCACTCTGGGAGGCTGAGGCATGATGATCAAAAGTTTGAGCTCAGACTGGGCAAATCTGTGACTTAGTGAGGATCAGTCTCAAAAAAAAAAAAAACATGTCTGGGGATATAGCTCGGTGTGAAAGTTCAGAGTTCAATCCCCGGTACCAGAAGAGGGAAAAAAAAAAAAGTCATTAAGCACTAGTGCTCCCTCCTTTCCACACAGAGAATCCAAGAAAGGACCTCCCTAATTCCTCACCACTGTGTCTCTTGGCCTTATAGGAAGCTAGTAAAGATAAGCATCTCACAATCATTGGTGGAAGAAAAGTTAACACATCAGAAAGGAAGATTTCAGCCATCACCACCAGGTCAGCTGAAGCGTGGGGTTTACCTTCTACCTGCAGGAGAAGCAGTCAAGCAGCCTCAAGTGGTCAAACGTAAAAGCTCACCAGTTCTTCTCTGACAAGTCACTGTGACAGTGGACTCAAGGACAAATCCTGACTTCAGAAATAGTCCCCACTAATGGGCGTTGGGTCTGGTACTTTTATGCTATTGGTCTCAGGTGAGGGCTAAGCCCGCCTGTGGGCCTCTTTCCCCACTTCCCTCCCACTCTTCTGCTTTTCACCCCAACCCTGCTGCCACCCTCCAATCAGAAAGGTGTCCCTCCCTTCCAACAACCGGAAGTATCTGTGTTAACCCTTTTCCAGGCATTTGAGATGTTTGAAAAGATGGTTGGAAGTGAGTTAAGATTACAGTAGGGGTGTGTGTGCGTGTGTGTGTGTGTGCATGTGTGTGTGTGTGCGTGTGAGACAGACAGACAGACAGACAGACTAGGATCAAACCCAGGGCCTCGCTTGTGCTAAGCACTGAGCTACACTCCCAGTCTTTTTTACTTTTTATCTTGAGACAGAGTCCCACTGTGTTGCCTAGGCTGGCCTCAAACTCTCAGTCTTTCCGCCTCAGCCTCCCAAGTAGGTGGAATTACAAGGATGCACCACTACACCCAGTTATGTAGGTAATTATTTAAAGGCCTTTTCTGTTACAAAACAGCCTGTTAAAATTTTGACAGTACAGAAACATATAAAGTGAGAATCCTCCCTCGCATTCCTCCCTGCTCACTCTCAGGAGTTGGCAGTGGTAATGATTTGGGCCTTTTTATTCATTTAGCAAGATGATAGATGACAGACAGAGAGACAGATAACTGACAGATAGATGGATAGATACATGATTTTATAGATTTTCAAAACACAGATCAGATCATGTTCTACATCTTGTTTGGCAGCATGTTTTTTGTTTTGTTTTTTTATTTTCTACATCTCAGACTCCTTTCCTTGTCTGTTCACAAAGTTTTGAACTTCAGTTAGGACAAATTCAGTTAGGTAAGGCCCTGAAATAAATAAAGGGCCTTACAACAAATAATTTAAAGATAAACGATCACTGAGGCAGACAAAATATGCAACTATATCCTTATACTGTGTGTGAAATCTTCATTTACCTACTGTGCAGATACTGGGAGCACAAGATGCTGGGTGGCATCTACACAAAACAACAACAACAACAAAACCCAAGGTCCACAGCAGGAACCCCCAAGGTCCTGGTGAGCCCTGAAAAATATCTCCCTGCAAATATTAAGACACAGCTCCGAGTCTCCCATGCTCAGATCCTATCTGTTTACTTGTCAAGACACACAGAATTGATACCAGAGTTCTTTCTAACCATCTACTTTTCAGCGATTTGAATCCCCTGTAGAGTTAAATTACCTTTTGCTTTTCTGGACCCCTATCTCTTAGCACTTTTCAGGACTTATTTAATGTATCCTATTCCCCATGCCAGGGAAGCAAGGAGTCACTGCTTCATTTAGCCAGTGGAGAAGCCCCAGGTGACAGTAAGATCCCAACCTTTCCATTCCAAGAGAATTTAAGTCTAATACCAGGAGCCCAGACGCTGCAGCTCAACAACATGATTACTGAGTCTCCAGAAGCTAATGCACAACCCCATCTCCAGAACACCCAAAGACACAGAGAAAGAAAGGCTGGGTCATCCCTGCCATCTGGCACCTATGCCCAAAGTATCCTTGGAGACAGGAGCCTCATAGGCTGGAAAGAACAAACCTCAAGGAGTCACTCACAGAGTGAGAACATGGTATTATTTGCAAACCACATAGATTTTTCCAAGAGGGAAGACCAATGCTTTTACACCCCTTGACTGAAACAGATATATTTTGAAGGGAAAAAAAATCATTTATAATCCCCACCATCATTCTTAGTATATCAGTAGTGACTTTTACACACAGTGGTTTTTCATGTTTATTAGCACTTTATGTTTGTGAATCATCTGTCCATGTCCCTCGCCTATCTCTTCAGGAGGGACTCATCTTTTTCTTTGCTAAGACTTTGGTATAGGACATGCCCATAAGGCAACAGCTGCTCTGGGGTCACAGGCCAGCCTCCTCTGTCTCAACTTGGCTCTGCTTCAGGTTTACAGATCAAAGGACAGTGAGCAGTACAGGGTTTTGGCAGGTGGGCCTGCAAACAGTGCTGCTGACGCAGAATCTGCTGGGCCGAGGAGGGATGATGGGACTACAGCGTCTGGAGGTCACTGCCGTGGGCACACTCTCACCCCGCTGCTTCAGGAGCCAACAACAGAACCCAGGTCAGAAGGGAAAAAAGATACCCCAAACAAGTCTTCAGAAAGCAGATAGAGCAAAATGAGAGGACCCAACTCTACCTCGGAAGAGTTACCTTCGCCGATGCTGGATAAACTTGATGGGGTCAGAGCCCAACAAACTTAGACGCACAAAGCGCTACCACCACGGCTGCTGTTAAGATCTTTCATTCAAAAGCCAAACAATGACTTCCAACAATTTTTTTGTTTTCCATGCAACAGTATTTTTTAAATTTTTTAAAGTAGTAAAAAACATAACACACATACAACACGCACACCATAATACAGACAAAGAAAAAGCTGTCACAATACCAAGGTAAACCTGGCTAGAGTTCCTTTGTTTAAATTTTTTATTTTAGAATAGTTTTAGATGTGTAGAAGAGTTTCAGAGACAGACTGGAGTTCTCTCATAGGCTTCACCAGTTTTTCCCTGTTTTTATCGTCTTGTATAATCCTGACAATTCTAAGAAATTCATATTAAGAAAACTGCATCCTTTGCCTCATCGTCTTAGCCATTTTTGAGTGTACGATTTCAGTAGTGTTATGCATATTCATGTCGTTGTGGCGCAGATCTCCAGAACTTTCTCATTTTGCAAAACAGAAACTCTGTAACCGTTAAACACTTTCTTGTTCCCTTTCCCTTCTTCCCCCAGCCCTTGGCGCTCATTTTCTACTTTTGAATAAAAAAATATTTTAAAGTAATTTGACCATACAGAGATAACGGCTATTTATCATTTTGTTCCCAAATAACATTTTGCAATTCCTATACTTTCTAGGTATACATTCATGTGTTTTACATGTGAAAGTTTTGTATTCTGTAGGTCTCATTTTTAGAAAATGTGTGAGCATTTTCTCAAGGCCATATCAATTTTTGTAAACTTGATTTTCATAGTTACCTAAAACCCCAGGCCTTCATTTTTATAAAGCTATTTCCGCGTTCATCTTTCCTCTGCCCATACAGACAGGATCCCTACCTCACACCACATAGTCCTAAGGTACACTGTGCCTAAAGCAATCATCTGCACATCACTCCAGGAGAGCCTATCTCATCTCTACCCTCACTTGGACAAAAACTAAGTCCCGCACTTAGTGAGCACTGATTCGGAGTCCAAGCCTTAAAATCAGGCTTCAGATTCCAGAAACACAAATCTGCCTCTCTTTGGAGGACAGGGTGGGTGGAGAAACATAGCCCCCGCCAGACATGGCGATGCACACCTGTGATCCCAATAGTACAGAGGCTGAGGCAGGAGTATCACTAGTATCACTAGTATCATTAGTATCACTAGTTTTAGGGCAGCTTAGACTATGCAGTAAGTTCAAGACTGGGCTAGACAACATGGCAAGACCCAGTCTCTAAAGAAGAAAGGAAGGGACTACATTCCTAGGGCATTTTTAAAAAGGGGGGAGAGCCAAATGGGAAAATGCCAAGAAAACATCATATTAACTGTGTGGATCAGGCATTCATCTGCCTCAGTTGTTATGCTGTATCTTTCCATACTGGGTCATCAGCCCTTATCATTGTATATGACTACAAAGGAATAGATGTGCGTTTGCTTCTCCATAGACTGAAACGCTAAGAGACATTCTTCTTACTCTCAGGTGTCTCCTTCATTTCTGGCACCATGCTTTGGACCAGCCACATTAGAAACTTTTTCACCAGCTGCCAGTTAGTGCATGAATCAGCGGGAATGGAATGATGAAAGGAGGGGTAATGGAAAGGAAACCAAAGCCCTGTGTGTTTATAAAAGGTGGGGTGTGGAATTCGGAGGGGGTAGGAGATTGGTTGGACTTTGATAATTTATGAAGCCTTACATTTACAGAGCACCTTGATGTTTGAGCTCACATTATCTACATTATCTCATGTAATGCTCTCTCTCTCTCTCCTGTCACACATACACATTCACACTCACACACACGTGCACACCATGAAATAGACAAAAGCTGTCAGAACACAGAGGTAAACCTGGTTAAGCTTCCTTTTCTTAAACTTTTCATTTCAGAATAGTTTTAGGTGTAAAGAAGAGTTGTAAAGACAGTGCAGAGTTCCCTCATATGCTTCACCAGTGTCTCCCTATTTTTTTTAAATTTTATTTAAAGAGAAAAAGAAAAAAAAACAGAAAAACGGTACAAGTAATACAGAATTTCAAAAAAAATAAACAGTAAATCACTAGTTAATAGATTACATATTGTCTTCTTAGAAATAGTTGTTCAAGTTACAAAATTAAAGCATACAAAGTGGACATTCAAACAGTGAGACTGCAAACAGTTCTGTTCAGTGATCCAACAAGAATTCAGTAATATGGTTGTCTATCTTATACACTTAAATATACATACAGTTATATCCTTTAGAGCAATTTTTTTCCTCTCTTTGTTACAATAACAATTACACATTTTGGGTTTTATTACTCCCACAGTTCCTATTACTTTTTTTTTTGAAGAGAATAAAACCAAATGTGACAAAACAAAACAGAGTCAGTCAAATCAAAAGGATGGACAGAATACAAGGTGATCAACAATGGTTACCATAATGCCTCTTACTATCTTAAAAAGAATTGCCTATATCATCAGTTATAATAAAACTGAACGAAACAGTACAGAACAAAGCCAATAAAACCAAAACATTGGACACATTACGGGACTTCAAAAGAAGATAATAGTCAAACCAGAATGGGCATCATAGTGAATCTTACTGTCTTCAAAGTAGTTGCCTATACCCTCAAACTTGATACTATCAAGCAAAACAGAATAGAGTAAAATCAGTCAAAACAAGATGGTGAGAGCAATACAGGGCTTCAAATCAAGTTAATAGGAAATCAAAATGGTTACTATAATATATACTGCTATTTTTTATTTTTCTCTTAATCAAAAAAATAAATTTTAAAAAAAGAGATTGAGATAACACAGGTCAGAACAGAACAATTTAAGCAACATAGTGT